GTATTAATTTGTATATATGTTTGTATTTGGGTTTGTTTATTTGTATGTAAAATTGTTTGTATGTGTATAAAGTTGTATGTGTGTGTGTATTCGTACGAAGGTTTATGTTTGTTTGAATGCATGCTAGTATAACTACAGTACCGTGTCAATACACAAATAAGTGTGTGGATTAATTGTATATTATACAATTTTTTGTATCATTTGTATTTTTGGTTTGTATTGTATATGTGTAAAACTAATTTCGTTTTACTTTTTAATTAAACAAAGCGTTGTGTCCACATTAGGAATGATTGATCGAATTAATAAGAAAAAATGAAAGAATGGATGATGAACGAACGAACGAACAAACGAACAAATGAATGACAGAGCGAATGAATGAATGACAGAGCGAGTGAATGAATGAATGAATGAAAGAATGAATAAATGATTGATTGAGTGAGTGAATGACGAAGCGAGTGAATGAATGACAGAACGAGTAAATGAATAAATGAATGAAAGAATGAATTAATGATTGAGCGAGTGAGTGAGTGAATGAATGAACGAAAAATGTGACATATACTCTTAATGACGGATCAACTGATTGATGGATGGACGAGATGGCCAAATAATAGCAGTAATAAATAAATAATAGAAATTTTTTAAAAAGAATAACAACGACAACAACAATAATCATAATAATAATAATAATAATCATTATTATTATTATTATCATTCAAATGCTATTTGGAGTAATAATGATAGCAAAAAGCGGAAGATAAGCTATCAAACTCTGACCATGTCTGCTTAATATTAGTTAGTACAGTGGTTTATTCATTCATTCATTTATTCAATTGATCTTATTTGTTCATTCATTCATTTGTTTATTTTTCAATTCATTAATTCACTCATTAATTAATTCATTAATTCATTCGTTCTCTTGTATGTTTAGTTGATTTTTTTTCGTTTTCTCATCCATCCATCCATCCATCCATCCATCCATCCATCCATCCATCCATCCATCCATCCATCCATCCATCCATCCATCCATCCATCCATCCATCCATCCATCCATCCATCCATCCATCCATCCATCCATCCATCCATCCATCCATCCATCCATCCATCCATCCATCCATCCATCCATCCATCCATCCATCCATCCAGCCATCCATCTATCCATCCAGCCAGCCATCCATCCATCCATCCATCCATCCATCCAGCCATCCAGCCACCCATCTATCCATCCAGCCAGCCATCCATCCATCCATCCATCCATCCAGCCATCCATCCATCCAGCCATCCATCCATCCATCCATCCAGCCATCATTTAATTCTTTCATTACATCCCATCTCATCTGTCTATCTGTCTTGTTGTTAGTATATTTTTGAAGCAGAGCCTGCATACATTAAACAGTTATACATTGAAACGATTGTTTGATTGACAGGTAGGTATGCAGACGAGCGTTTTTGTTGTCGTTGATGTTGTTGTTGTTGCTGGGGGGCTATCAAATTGTTGGTCAGATTATTAAGTAGGTGGTTAGGTCATGTTTTGCCAAACAAAAGTTTTGTCAGTTATTTAGATACATATCAAATAAATATAAAATGTATTCAGCTATTTTGGGACTTTTTTTTTATGTCAAGTCATACCTATGATTAAACATCAAACAAATATGCGTGTTTAAAGACACACACACACACACATACACCTACACACACACCTACACACACACACGTACACACACATGCACGTACACACACATACACGTACACGTACACACACATACACGTGCACATACACGTATAAAAACGTAAAAAAGTTAGTTAGTTAGTTAGTTAGTTAGTAAGTCAGGGAGGTGTTTGGTGAAGTTTTACCGGAAAAACTTCCATCCTATTAAATATCTAAACGTTATCATTGGTTGTTTACGCAAGCAAGCACCTTGCTTACCTACTTAGTTCTATAGCGATATTTATGGTTTTGTGTATATATTACGGAGTATCATTTTAGACATTTTAGATATATCCTGTATCAAATACAAATTGAGTTTAACTTTGTATCAGATACAAATTACGTGTAATTTTGTATCAGATACAAATTGAGTTTAACTTTGTATCAGATACAAATTGAGTTTAACTTTGTATCAGATACAAATTACGTGTAGTTTTCTATCAGATACAAATTACGTGTAACTTTGTATCAGATACAAATTGAGTTTAACTTTGTATCAGATACAAATTGAGTTTAACTTTGTATCAGATACAAATTGAGTTTAACTTTGTATCAGATACAAATTACGTGTAATACTGTTTATTGTGTATTATCGTGATATAAATAAATTAATTTAATACATCAATACAATGTACACTCATACAGAGACAAACATACACACATGTATATGTACATATATCCGCATACACACAACTTTACACACACACATACACGCATACACGCATACACACGTAACGCACATACACACGTAACGCACATACACAAGGCTCTGGAGAGGTGGATATTTCACATTGAAAGAAGAGTGATTGTTATTTATATGCCTCTATATTCATTTACATAGCAAGTTATTGTTGTTGGCACACATACATACACATACGCACGTACGTACATACATACGTACGTGCACATACATACACACATACATACAAACAAACAAACATACGCATACATACGCACATACCTACAAACATACATGCAACCATACATACAAACATCATTTGTATCTATCTACAAACCACTTGAAACTGCACAGACATCTTGACGCACAAATGAATGTACGTGCGTATGTATGTATGAGTGTATGTGTGTGTGTGTGTGTGTGTGTGTGTGTGTGTGTGTGTGTGTGGGCCCTGTGAAGATAACTTCAGATCGAGTGTACAAATACGTCCTGGCAGGAAATACATACAAACTAATACCTCTATGTATATTGGTATAAATATGCACATACACACACACATACATACACACATACACACATACATACACACATACATACATACACACATACACACTAATGTATTCGAAAACAAATCAACTTTCACACGAATGCAATAAAGAAAAATACAATTTTTGTTTGTATTTGTATCCGCGCGTATTTTATGCAAATACAACTGCAGCTGTGCTAGATTCCGTCAAATAAATTGTCTAAAATTAAAAAAAAACAAAGCAGAAAAATTTTTTTCGTTTTTTCTGATTTTTTTGATTAATTAATACCTGGAAGACTATTTCAAACGCTCATTGCTTCCTTGCTTTCCTTTCTCAGGAAATACGCCAACAATACCAGAAATACAGAAAAAGACCTATACAGTGTACATACATACACACATGCATGTATAAAAAATTGTATTAAATATACATACATATATGTATACATACAAACGCACTTTATAATGTACACTAACACGTACGTACATGTATACAGACACACATATACACAAAATATACAAACATATACATACAAAATACAAAGAATACACACGCACACTAACATAGGCACGTGAACTCAATTATCTCAAGTGTATCTGCTTGTTTATCTTACTTTGTATCTGGCAGTTCTTGTTAACTGTTTGTATTGTATACAAGTTAGTAAACGCTTGTTTGTATGGATGGATGGATGGATGGATTTGTGGGTGTTTGTGTGTTTGTTTGTGTGTTTGTTTGTGTGTTTGTTTGTGTGTTTGTATGTGTGTGTGCGTGCGTGTATGTCTTTATGTATGTCCAATTATCTCTCAGTTAACTTTAGAAGAATTGAATTCTTCTTTAGAAATAAAATAAAAATGGATAGTAACTAAGACAGCGATCATCATAAAACTCATGCGATGTGAAGGAATGATGATAAACTATACTGCTAAGGTTTAAGTGTGTTTCAGTGTAAGTTTGTATGTATGTGTGTGTATTTATGTGTGTATGCTTATGTATGTACGATTGTATATGTGTATGTATGCTTGTGTGTGTATTTATTTGTGTATTTATGTGTGTGTGTATTTGTGTGGACGTATGTATGCATGTATGTATGCCTGTGTTGTATTTATTTTTGTGTACGATTATATTTATGTGTTTATGTGTGTGTATGTATGTACGATTGTATATGTGTCATCAACATAAGACTTTTTATTTATCTTATTGTTATTATTACTATTATTAATCTTGTTATTAATACCTTCATTATTATTATTGATATTATTCAAATTATTATTATTATTATTAATTTATAAAATTCAGAAGATGGAGATTAGATTGAGAAAGCACCCAGCCATGCTAATGAGTGTGGTGTGATGTGTGGGTTTAAGTAAATAAAACACATCCATTCACTATTATATATATATATATATATATATATACAAATAAATATACATACATTATATATATATATACATTTACATATATATATATACATATGGTTATATAGAGTTAATGAATTTTGCCAACAGATTGATCTTGAGTAGAGGTGACATCATTATCATCACCATCATCACAACCACCACCATCATCACCACCATCATCACCACCATCATCACCACCATCATTACCACCATCATTACCACCATCATTACCACCATCATTACCACCATCATTACCACCATCATTACCACCATCATTACCACCATCATCATCACCATCATCATCATCCTCATCTTCATTATCACCATCATCATCACCATCATCATCACCATCATCATCATCGTTACCATCTTAGGTCGTACACGCGCGCAAACGAGACCTCGCATCACAGAGCACCCACGCAGTACTTACATCATAAAGAACAGCAGCCCTGACA